AGTACAGTAAAATCATTCCCTTAACACACACGGCTTCTTTTCCATAACATGGGTTGCTTTTTATTCTAATGGACTCGACTTTAATAGTTCCATGAGATAATTTACAGATTCTAGCACATTAATGATAGCCCTTACTCGTAACCGGAATGTAGAGTAATTTCCAAGTCATACTAACATATACAAAATCTTCCAACCAACATAACATTAGTATAATCACTTGCAAGAAACGGAATGTTAACAATAAAGATCAGTAACGATGATTAAATGTATGACCACAGTACTACTACTCACAGTGCTACAACGGAGTGCTTGTCCCTCCTAGAATGTGCCCTGTACACATACATAACTTAGACATTAGTTCTTTTTCTTTCTTAATTCATTTCCTGCATCATTTCACTTCGAACGAATTTATAGGCATCTTAGGAACTTCAAACATGAATTTCAAAAATACCAGAGGGTTAAGCACGCAAAACAGAGCAAACGAATTTTTGCAGTTTGGGCAGCACGTCATAGTCAATACCATCCCACATAATCATCACAATTCAACATATCTCAAAAGGAATTCTTAAATTCCATTTCAACATTCCATAATCGAATTTATATCATCCACATTATCAATAAATCTTTTCCTCCAAATTTCCCCTTTATTAAAACATAATTCACAATGCATTTAACAAAGCTCAATCGCAAAGTTTAAACATAATTTTCAAACATAACCAAATTCCAATTAAACTTGTACATATATAATTCAACCTACCAATTTCATGAATCAACTTTCAATTTGGGCCAAATCATTGGTTATCATCAAAAATCAACATAGGGTTTTAAGAAAAACCTAGAAATTTCGAGAAAAATCCAAATTTCTTAACCCATTGTTTTTTGTTCCAATCTTCCCATTTATTATACACCCTAGGTCCATAATCCATAAACCATAATCTAAACCCCATAATAGAACCCCAATATTGCAAACCCTAACCCCAAAATTTCAAGATTTACACTATATGCTCACAATGTAGATTTTGCATTTATATACTCCAAAATACCACAAATCTATCTATTAATGTAAGCATTGAAGGAGAACTAGGACCCCTACCTCAAGATTCAAGCAAGAAAAGAAAGCTTTGATGAGATTCCTCCAAAATTTCGAAATCCCAATCAGTAAAAATGTTGATCTTCTCTTGTTCTCCATACTTGATGCAAGATCCACGGTTGATTTGTTGATAAAAGTGGAGGAAATCAAGGTTTTTAGGGCTAAGTTTTCAGACATGGAGGGGGGGAGAAGAAGAGAGGAAAAGAAAATGCAAGAAATGGTCCAAAAATCACGTTTTGGAGCTGCTGTCCCGCACAGCCTGCACGTGCGGCTCTGCTTCCAGCACAGATGTGAAAGCTTCAAACGGGTATAACTCTCTCATCGGGACTCCGTTCTAGGTCATTCTTGTGTCCAAATTGAAGTCCCAGAAACAAGCTTTCCAATGGTTCCAACCTCACATTCAAATTCTAAGTATGGAAGGAGAAAAGGGCAAAAGAGTGACGGCTGGTCAAAAATTCAAACTCAAATTTGGGACTTTTTATCTAATCCAGGTGGAAAGCACTGTCATTTCATTCAAATTTGCTGGCACAACTGGCTTCATGGCAAAAACAGATGCAAAACAAAGAGTGTAAAAGACAAACACAAAAAGATAATTATGTCCGAGATAACACCCCCGAAATCACCCTATTCTAACATAACAGTACTAAGTCGATACAACAAGATAGACTCGACTAACTCCATTGTTGACGCAAAATCCATGGTTGATTTGTTGATAAAAGTGGAGGAAATCAAGGTTTTTAGGGCTAAGTTTTCAGACATGGAGGAGGGGAGAAGAAGAGAGGAAAAGAAAATGCAAGAAATAGTCCAAAAATCACGTTTTTGAGCTGCTGTCCCGCACAGCCCGCACGTGCGGCTCTGCTTCCAGCACAGATGTGAAAGCTTCAAACGGGTATAACTCTCTCATCGGGACTCCGTTCTAGGTCATTCTTGTGTCCAAATTGAAGTCCCAGAAGCCCCGGAAACAAGCTTTCCAATGGTTCCAACCTCACATTCAAATTCTAAGTATGGAAGGAGAAAAGGGCAAAAGAGTGACGGCTGGTCAAAAATTCAAACTCAAATTTGGGACTTTTTATCTAATCTTATCTATATATCTTGTTAAGGCTTCAATCAAGGTTCCAAACATCATCCAAGGGTCCTCAATTATAATATTTAAAGTTCACTTGCCAACCCATCAATAGCAAGAGTCCAACAACCATACAAGTTTTAAGGTGACAGGCACCACTATGCATCAATCCAATGTGAATTTAAAATCCGAGTCGTTATAGCCCCAATCATGAAATCACCGTATTGGTCGCTTCATTTTGAAATCATATGTGATGCCTCAGATTATGCTGTTGAGGCTGTGTTGGGTCAAAGGGTCAATAGGGCACCATATGCTATATCCTTTGTTAGTCACACTCTCTCAGATGCACAATTGAATTATACTACTACCGAGAAAGAGTTGCTAGCCGTGGTCTTTGCCTTAGATAAATTCCAATCCTATCTTCTAGGCTTCAAGTTCATAGTCTTCACTGATATGCTTTGCGGTATTTATTATCAAAGAAAAAGACCAAACCTAGGTTAATTAGATAGATATTGTTTCTTTAGGAATTTGACTTGGAGATCCGAGATAAAAAAGGATCTGAGAATGTGGTGGCGGATCACCTCTCCCAAGTCCTTGTTGAGTATAATAGTGACCCTTTAACTTTGCATGATTCGTTTCTAGACGAACAACTTCTTGTAGTGTCACGAGCGAGCCCCCCGTGATTTGCACATATTGTGAATTACTTGGCCATCAGGCAAATTCCTCAAAATTGGTCTAAGCAAGACAAAGACCGATTCTTTTCGCAGGTCACGTATTATTTTTTGGAGGATCTGGAGTTGTTTAAATATTACTCTGACCAAGTAATCTGACGGTATGTGCCAAAGAGTGAGGTACATAGCATTCTTACATTTTATCATTCGTCTTCACGTGGTGGTCATTTTAGTGGGCATAAAACGGCCGTCAACGTTTTATAAAGCGGTTTTTATTGGCCCATCAATTTTGTAGAATTTGTTTGCGCTGTCAGCCAATGGATTCGATATCTCAGCGTGACATGATGTCAATGTCCCCTATTCTTGTGGTAGAGATCTTTGATGTTTGGAGGATTAATTTTATGGGTGATTTCCCGTCGTCGTTCGGGTTTGAGTATATTCTCTTGGTAGTGGATTATGTGTCTAAGTGGGTAGAGGCAATAGCTACCCGATCAAACGATCATAAAGTAGTAATTAAATTCTTGCATGAAAACATCTTTAGTCGTTTCGGGTTTCCTAGAGCCATAATAAGTGACCAGGGTACGCATTTTTGTAACCGGTTCTTTGAGTCGATAGTTAAGAAATACTCTATCACTCATAAAGTGGGCACTCCATACCACCTTCAAACTAGTGGCCAAGTGGAAGTCTCAAATAGGGAGGTGAAACATGTAATAGAGAAAACGGTGAGGCCAGATAGGAAAGATTGGTTAAAACGTTTGATTGATGCATTATGGGCCTACCGCACTGCTTATAAGACACCCATTGGGATGTCACCATAGAGGGGGTGTTTGGCAAAGCTTGCTGTTTCCCGATTGAACTTGAGCACCGAGCGTTGTGGGCCATAAAGAAGTTTAACTTCGATATGGCCGCGGCTAGGCTCAACAGGAAATTGCAACTCAATGAGTTGGAGGAAATTCGGAATAATGCATATGAGAGTTCGAGAATTTTTAAAGCTCGGACTAAGGAATTCCATGACAAGCATATTAATAGAAAATCCTTTGAACCCGGCCAAAAAGTGTGGCTTTTTAACTCAAAATTGAGACTTTTTTTGGGTAAGCTCAGACTAAGATGGGATGGTCCCTTTGTGGTTGTAGAGGCATTTATTCATGGTGTCGTTGAGGTGCAAGATCCAAAGAATGGCCACACTTTCAAAGTGAATGGCCAAAGATTGAAGCCATATATAGAGGGGATTCGGAATAGAGATATGATTAAGTCCATTGCTTTGATGGACCTTTTTTACTATGATTGAGAGATTGATGTCTTGTTCTCTTTCCTTTTTATTCTATTCTATTTTTCTTTATTCTTGCTGTGCTTTATTTGCGTCTAGGAGACTTTAAATCCTCTAAAGGTGTAATTCCTTTCATGTTAGCTGCGTCCGAACGGCATCTGACGGTCTGGTATAGCCACCTAGCTGTGTTTGTAGTGAGTTTCTAGGAGACTAATTTAGACGGTGGAAACTAGAGTTCGCATGACAAAGTCTAGAACGCAAAGGTTTGGAATTTTTGAGACTAGAGTTTTGTTTAAATACCTAGGGGTGTAAAGATTGCTTCAAGACCACCCCGACTTGAACTCTGTGTGGCAGCCCCAAAAAAGTTAGCTATATGTGCCTTGATTCTGGATATCGAATCAACCTAGTCTATCACCCTGTTAGAGAATAAGGAAAGTTACAAACACTGTTAGGAAGAAAAGTAGTACCCGTGATTTTCGGAAAAGATTATACTTTTATTGAACTTTATTTCTTTTCATAGGCTATTTTTAATTTGATTGTGAAATAATGTACAAGTTGGGTTAAGGAAGTAAAAAAATAATAATAATAAAATAAAAAAAAATTCCTGCACGTGCGGCAAAACCCACCGCACGTGCGGCCAAAGTGTCCAGTCCCTAAATTTTCTATTGCTTTAAAAGAAGGTGCGTAGAGGAGGTGTGGGTGTGCATCTGCCTTATCGTCCCTAAATTTCCTGGCGCCTTATTTATTTATTTATTTTTTGTTAAAAAAAATTGAATATCTAACCTAGCATTTTATTTATTTATTTATTTATTTTAGTTTATTTTATTTTATATTCATTTTAAAAATAATAATAATAATAATAATATATCTAACCCTACCCTCTTTTGACCATCACTTTCCAAACTACACTCTCTCTCTACCTCTCATCATCTATCTCTCTCTCTCTCTCTCTCAACCCCACAACCCACAAACTTATCAACCCCACCATCACCAACTTCTTCTTTCTTCTTCTTCTTTCAACTTTCACTCACCACCACTTTTCCATCGAAGCATCATCATCCTCTTCGTCCGGCGATCACCATTTTTTCGGGCAAATCTCCATTCTTTTTCCCTCTTTCTCCACTATTTCAAGGTAAACCTTCCTTTTTGTTTAGATTTGTGGGTGTAGGAGTAGATAAGTAGAGTTTTGTTTTTGTTTTTGTTTTTGTTCAAGTCATCATATATTGATCATCCTTATAAAAAGTATATATATATACTTAGCTTTTCTAATTCATTTTAATTATACTTAGCCTTTCTAACTCATTTTAGTTCCTAAGTTGTCTATTTATTTATTTAGCTATTTAGTTGTTTATTTATTTATTTATTTATTTATTTATTTATTTATTTTATTCTTTGTTAGTTTAATTCCTTACTTGTTAGTATGGTTTATTTTCATTTGTTTAATCAAACGTTATTTACATAAAATGTTAATGTGTCTAGTTTATTTTATTTTAAGTTTCATATATTGTAAAATAATAATAATAATAATAAAAAATAAAAAAATGTTTATTTTAGGTTCAGTAGTTAGTTTAATAACTAATTGTGTAACTAGTTTAGTTGTTGTTCCTTTTATTTTTATTCATATTTTATTTTAGTTCATTTATTTCTCTATTAAAAAAAATAAATACAAAAACAAATTTAAAAAAAAAAATTCTAATACCTAACTTTTCTAATTCACTGTATTTTCCATCTATTTATTTAGTTGTTTAGATGTATTCTATTATCTCGGTATTACTTGTTAGTTTAATTCAATACTTGTTAAAATGTTAATATGTAAGTTTATATTATTCTATTTTATTTTGTTTTAGGTTTTAAAAAAAAAATAAAAATTGATGATAATTGCATGTGGTATTTTAGTGGGCAGACTTGTGCTTAAATATCTTATTTGATTCTCATGTTGGTTTCACGGGTATATATGTCTATTGTTGGTGTATACAGGACATAAGTCGACAAATATTCGCTCGGGCCTCCAAAAAGGCCAGAGGTTCCACATTCTCAGCGTCACCACCGCCACTATCACCACCATCGGTTGAGTTGCCACGACTGAAGTAGGCTTCACGCCCGCTTCACAAGCTCACACAGTTTAACATCACATATTTTAGCGTGACCCGGTCACTTCTTGGGCCGTTGAGCAGCTCCAACTCCGGCAATAGTTGGGCCTTTGCACTGTGACAGCGCCCACTTATCCTCGTATGGTATGGCTCTTCTACCAAAACCTATATGAGTCACTCACCGAGGTAGGACTACTGTCCACTATTAATGGCCATCTCGTTAGCATCACAAAATCCATAATTACCGACGTGCTAGGGTTCTTTTCCAAGACGGAACACCAGTCCTTCCCGGAAGTTGTGGACTAACAACTCATACACAAGCTCATCCAAGAGTACTTCTCGAGGGCCCTCGGTGATACAAGTTACACGTGCTTCCGCCGGAGCAAGCTACCTGGCTGTTTGCTATTCATTGATTCCATGCTATTTATTGCTATTCTTGTAATATTGAAATTACTAAACGTAACTTTTCAAAAAAAAATCTTAGTATATTTTTTTCTAAAATGTAACATTCCATTATAACACACTAAAAATTTTTAAATATACTTTTCTCAAACATAACACTTCAATCAATGTAATACACAAAAACTCCTTAATATGTTTTTTCAAGCGTAACACTCAAAAAAACGTAATATTCCAACGTAACACACAAAAAAACTCCTAAGTGTATTTTTTTTCAAACGTAACAACATAACATTCTTAAAAAAAAAAAAAAATCATTTATGTACTTTTTTCAAATGTAACAACGTAACATTTGAAAAAATTTCCTTAGTATATTTTTTCCAAACGTAAAATTTCAATTAATGTAACACACAAAAACTTTGTATTTTTTGAGAATATAACACTCTAATATAATACTTTAATGTAATACCAGAAAATCACACTAACAAAAATGCAGATTTTCACACTCGACAAAAAAATTGTGGTGTAGCATTATCCACCTTGTTATTTGAAAATAATCACATTCGGCCCAAGAATTGTTAATTAAAAGGAATTATTAACTATTTAATAACGTATTGTAAAAAAGTGAGATTAAGAACTATTTGAAAAAATTATTAAAAAAAAATTAATTTTGACCCTAAAAACAAATCAAACTCCAGAAGCTATTTAAATGATAATAGTTTCAGGAAGTTTAATGACAACATGAATGGTTTGGCAATGGCCCTTTTTTTTCAATTTTTTTTCTCCAAATTTTTTTAAGGTTAAAACAAAACAAAAAGATTTTTGTTCTCAAATTAATTTTTAAAAACAAAAACAAACATTTCCAATTGTCTACTTGTAAGAGACCTCTCAAACAATGCAAGGCCTAAAATTACACAATAATTGAGGCTTCCAACCATCAATAGTACAAAATTGGCAGGGTTCTTTGCAAATTGAAAACATGTGCTCCAATACAAAAGACATGCCGCCGACCCACGCGTCAGAATCGAACTACCGGACTCTTTGCATCGACGTTGTCCAAAAATATCTTCCTTAAATTATAGAGTTGTTCAAAAATTGATTTGAGACTTCTAAATTAAAAAATCTTTATGTTCTTCGAAATGATTTCGATTACTTATGTATTTGTTTTTTTTTTTTTTCTATATCCCTTATGTGAGTGATGCAGATTATTTTAAAGGTCATGAGAATCTCTAAATTTAGAGTCTCAATCATTGTTGCTTATTATTATATTATTTTTTATTTTTAACATATTTTTTAAATTTTTTTATAAAAATATATTAAATAAATAAATTCCAAACAATTCCTAATTGTAATTTTTTTTTTAGATGGGAATTTTTAATTTGATTAGGATTGTTTTTTCTTTTCATATATCTCTATTCATAAAAAAAATATAACTACGGCTTAAAAAAATATTTATAGAAACATTTTTGTTGATGATTTTATTAACAATAATATTATTCTTATCCCATTTTGTATATTCATGTATTATGTAAGGTCTTTTAAACTCACTCTAAGAATGTAAATTTAAAAATCAAATTATATTTCTTAATCGCATGATTCAGGTAGGTACGTGGAGAGCAAACTCATTGACTAATTATATATATTTTTATTTTTATTTTATTAGACTAAAAATTTAATTTTTTCTTTTAGTTCTTTTATAGGTTCGTTTGGGAAGTAGGTTGTCTTTGTGGTTTTTTAATTTTTTGATTATTTTAGCTTAAAGCTAAAAAGTCGCGTTTGAGAAGTTTTTTTTTAATTTTTTTGACTTTTTGTGAGAAAAAGAATATAATGATTATAGGTTAGATGTGATATTTTGTCTTATTGAATTAAAAAAAATTATTTTATCTTTTTGTGAATAAAATAATTCTAAACTTAACCCAACCTTTCTTCCCAAACGAAGCATGAATGAATGGGTGGGTAGGTTGGCAAAGAATTATACATTTTTGACTAATGTGTAGACTTCAACCTTCATTCTCCCGCACTAGTTTTGTGTATAAGAGCATGAATGGTATCCGATATTTTCCTCATTATAGCTCATGTTTGTCGGATATAATCACTAAAGTTGCAAAGAGGAAAGGTACCTAATCACAATTCAATGAGAAGTTGCTTACAAATAAAGCATTTTTTATTGCTTTGTTCTTGGAATTCATGTAAATAGTGGGATTAGATATGTTAAAAAAGGGGGGAAAAAATTAACCTAGGAGCAAAGTATTGGATTAATGCAAATAGTGAACTCCATAAATTTACAATTACAAACATGAAATCTTAAAATTTTAATAATTGTTAACATGGGATGGGACCACCATTAATTGTAAATCAAACATTCTTTGTTGTATTTCATATGATACCTACCACTTCACTCAAATGATGAAGATTTTCATTTCATTATAAAAAATCGTAAAAATTTACATCAATAAATTTTGTTTAAATCTAAAATCAGTTAAGGAAAGATAAATTTTATGATCATTCTCAATTCATTTCTCCAACTCTTTGCAGCATCACATATTTTTTGTTTAAAAATACTAATTTACAAACATAATTTTCATTTCAAACGATGTAACAATAATATTTTTATAATTAAGAGTCTCAATTATCAAGTTTTGAATTAAAATGACAAGTCAAAGAAACATAACATTATTCTATACAAATTTTTTGTACAAAAATTAATTTTATATAACATTATTTATTTATTTATATTTTTAAAGATAAATTACATCAGTAGTCTCTCTATTTTAGTCATTGTGTCATTTTGGTCTATGTAATTTAAATTAGTTTGATTTTAACTTTAAATTTATAATTTTGTTTCAATTTGGTACAATAAATTACATTTGTTAGTTTTTTTTTTTATAGAAACTACGCATATAAGTAGTATGTGTTATATTTTTATAAGTAAAATTTTAAATTTATTCAATTCAATAAAATAAAATAATTTCAGTTAATTCAATGATTATTTTTATTCAAAAACACTAATTGACGTTAGCTAATTAAAATTATAAATATTAAAATGACGCAATTGAAAAAATAATAATAAAAATACAAAGATTATTTATCCTGTTTTGAATACATTCAACCAATGCCACCCATTGATTGGACTTTTTAATGTCCTTCATCCTTTGCTATGATTGGACGACCATGAAGCCACCAAGTTTGAAAAAGCAGCAAGAGACGACCCACCACCACCACCGCCAACCATCCAAGCCTCAGATGCCATCACTCTCATCTCTTCACTCCTTTTCCTCACCTCTTCTCCCTTTCTAGACCCCATCAATTCTCTCAAACACCTCTCAATCTCATCTCCTCTCACCCAACCATCATCATCTATGGCTATGGCAATACCCACTTTCATTTCCTCTACCAAAACCACACTATTCAAGCGTTGCTCGGCATACAATGGCCAAGCCACCATTGGCACACCAGCACTCACCGCCTCCACCACCGAATTCCACCCGCAGTGCGTCACGAACCCGCCTACTGACTGATGTCTCAGAACCGACGCTTGCGGTGCCCATGACTTCACCACCAAACCCATCTCTTTTGTTCTTTCCAAGAACCCATTTGGTAGTAGTAACTCCAAATTAGGCTCCTCCAAAGTATTTGGAGGCGGGTTCTTCACAACCCACAAGAATCTTTGATTACTTCTCTCTAACCCAATAGCGATTTCTCTCAACTGCGATGTTGAGTGTGCTCCTTTGCTTCCAAAGCACAAGAACACTACGCTTTTACTGGGTTGAGTGTTCAGCCATGTCAAACAATCTAATGAATTAGATGAATTACCAATTCTATCCTCAGCATCGGCTATCACTGGTCCAACGCAGTAAATTGTCGGGGTTAGAATTGGACTAGTACAATCACCATCGGTGATAGCTTTGATTGCTCTAGGCTCGAGGGATTCAAAGGTATTAACTATGATCCCATTTGATTTGGGTAAGCAAGCGCCAAAGTTAAGGAAGTCATGGTAGGCCTGGTGGTCCCTATCAAGAATGGGTTCGGGCAAATGAGAGGCCGTGATGGGTGGCAAACCAGGGATGTGGAAGATAGTGGAGGGAAGGTCTTTGAAGCTTTTGGTTGTTTGGGTGTGGAGAATAGGTAAGTAGAGAAAAGTAGCAAGAGTTGAAGCACAAGAGGTGAAATAGTAGTAAGTTGGGATGTTGGGATCATATGAGTCTTGGACTGATGAGGTGATGAGAGATGGTATTGTGGAGGTGAGAGAGATGGTTTTGAGGGCATGGAGGACATTGGGGATGTTGCTGCGCATGAATTCAAATGCGTTGCCTACTCGGGTTTGGGTCTTTGAGTTGGGAGAAATTGAGAGATTGGGAGTGGGAAGGTGGTGGAAGTGGAAGGAGAGTGAAAGTTTGATCTTGTTGATGTACGAGGAAATGGTGGTTCCATCTTCCCAAGGTGTGGTAGGGATGAGGATTGTGATGGAGTAGTGAGAATGATGTTGGAGGATTAGCTTTCCAAGTTCTACCATAGACACCAGGTGGCCAAGTGCGGGAGCTGGGTATAATACTATGGTTTCTTTCATTGTTTGTGAGAAGAGAGGAAAGGAGAGTTACAAGAAAAGGGAAAGTCTTCTTGATGACTCACAGTTAACAGGTTTTATAAATTTTCAAGAATACATATTGAGAGAAACTTAAGGTTGGGTGCGGTAGAAGTTTGGAATTATGATTTGAGAATAGAGTTGTATTTTGAATTTATAAGTTTTAGAATTATAATTTGAGTGTAAAAAATTTGTTTGATTATGAACTTTAAAAAAAGTTTTGAATTGAGGGATCTAACCTATGTTATTTGATTTAAAAATTTATAACTCATAACCAAACACACAATCTAAAATTCTATTCAAAGCTCACAAAATTTTTTTAAAAAGTTTTCAAAATATTTTTTATTTAAAATATAAAAATAACAAGTGTCAAAAAAAAAAAAACACAAATACTATTCCGGTCAACCGGCCGAACGCCTGGAAGACGTCTGGGAGAATAACCGAGTAGACCTGTTTTGAAAAATGAGCGAGGAGTCAATTTTTAAAAATTAAAAACAAACAGAGCACTCAAATCATATTGTGAAATCATATATTTCACTAAACATGGTCTTAATTTTTATAATATAATCATTGGGTATATGTTAAAAAAATGAGCTTACATGTATTCAGAAAATAATTGAGACAAAATTTTAACCCGTCAAATCTGCATATGCCGGATGCAACTGTTAACATTAAAATAAACAAGTAATTATCTTGCTTTTTAATAAATTTATTTTAATAGTGTGTTCAATTAATAATAAAAGGATTAAATGAATTTATAGTCTTAACAACAAAGAAATGATAAATAATTTATAACATATCATTGACTGAAAGTCTTCTTGATTTACTAACTAATTTTTGATATTGAAATATTCCTAATACCTGTTGAAAATATATGCATTTATCTAATATGGGTTTTATTATAAAAATAAAATAAGCTGATAATGTTATCATGAAACATTAGTGGTTGGTTTAGGTCAGCCGGTGGGACTTAATGAGATAAAGACAACCCTAACCCCACAAAGTATAAAGTCCACCAAAACTCGAGTATGTAGTGATGTGAATCTCCAACTAGGCAGCTCCGTAGTGGGCCAAGCCCAGCCCATTGGAGGTTTATATGTTTAAGGATAAATTATAAATACATCCTGAGATTGGTTTAAAATATAATTTATTTTTTATAATTTTAAAAATTATATTTTGTCTCTTAAAGTTTTAATTATATAAAAAATTGTTTATTTTATTAATAAAATAGTAAGTTAATTAATAATTTTTAATGATATTAGAAATTTATTTTAATCAATAATTTAAATAATTTTATCATTGTATAGATAACAGTGTATAGATAACAGTTAAATTTTTTATTTTTTTGATTAATTTTATTAAATAAAAAATTATGATAATGAGATATTTATAATTTTTTAAATCATATAGGTAAATAATTTGTATTTTAAGCAAATCTTAAAAGGTGTGTTTATAATTTACCTAATCTCTAATTCAGATCATAATATACTCTTTTTTTGATCAAAAAACACCAATCACATAGAATTGAAAAGCCTTTCAACAAGTGCCATAGAAGGAGAAGAAACCCAATCCATCAACAAAACCTCATCTGAGCAAGCTTAGGCAGTCCAATGAAGGCCCTATTAGTTACTCTAGGGCATTAATTAAAGGACACTCTATCTCGATTGGTAAGTGAGCGAATGTCCTTAGATCATAATGTAGTCTTTGTAATATAATTTGAAGTGTTTGAATGACAATAGATCATGTTAAAAAATATATATATACATATATATATATATAATTGAATTATGTGCAGGGCACTCTATGTAATACAATCTATATTGTATCTTAAGTAACAACGCATCAAGTTAAAAAATAATAAATAAATATATAATTAAAAAAAAAAAGAAAATTCATTCCACACAGCTCAACATAACTTCTCTCATCAAGTCATGATTGACTTCTAAGTTTTGGTCATGTCACTACAACAAAAATCACCTTTGGCGACTAAATTTTTAGTCGCCAAAAGTCCCTCTTTAGTCGCCAAAAGTGGATTTTTCAGATTCAGCGACTAAATTTTTTAGTTGCCCATTTTGTCGCCAGTACTTAGTCGGCAGAGGTATTGGCGACTAAACAAGTTTTAGTCCGCAAAAACAGGTGTTTCAGCGACGAAAGTGATGGTCGCCAATAGTGAATTACACTTTCGGAAATTATACATTCAGCGACTAATATTTTAGTCGCTGATAGCCATGAATCGCCGACCAAAGTGATTAGTCGCCCAAAGCAACACTTTTGGCGACGACTAATTTTAGTCGCCAAAGGTATTCCGTGAAAAAAAAAGCGACTAAATTTTTTAGTCGCCCATTTTGTCGCCAGTACTTAGTCGACAGAGGTATTGGCGACTAAACAAGTTTTAGTCGGCAAAAACAGGTGTTTCAGCGACGAAAGTGATGGTCGCCAATAGTGAATTACACTTTCGGAAATTATACATTCAGCGACTAATATTTTAGTCGCTGATAGCCATCAATCGCCGACCAAAGTGATTAGTCGCCCAAAGCAACACTTTTGGCGACGACTAATTTTAGTCGCCAAAGGTAATCCGTGAAAAAAAAAAAAAACCTTATTTCTTTGCATTTTCTGAGTTTTGAACCACTGACTTCGCCATACATTCTAAACCTTTAACCAAACACTCCCTCCACTATGCCACTATAACATCACATGAATGTATATGCAATATATATTATTTATATAGTATATTAATTGGTATTAATACAAAACTAATTATATAAATATATTACTTTAGTCGCCAATTCTATTATTTTGGGCTACTAATGATTTTTTCGTCGCTAAAAAAATTAGTTCCAATTAAAAATATGCAGTTTTGGCGACTAAACCTGTTTTTAGTCGCCAAAAACGTCACCTTAGTCGCCAATTCTATTATTTTGGGCTACTAATGATTTTTTTGTCGCTAAAAAAATTAGTTCCAATTAAAAATATGCAGTTTTGGCGACTAAACCTGTTTTCTGTCGCCAAAAACGTCACCTTTTGGCTACTAAACTGAATTTTAGTCGCCAATACTCAATTTTTAGCTACTAATTTTTTTTTGGTAGCCAAAAAGCTTCACTTTCAGCGACCAATATGTTTTTAGTCGGCAAAACACCTACAATCGGCGACCAATCTGTTTTTTAGTCGCCAAAACCATCACTTTTGGCGACTAAATTATTTTAGTAGCCAAAAACTGTCACATTCGGCGACTAAACTACCTTTAGTCGCTAAAACCCCATATTCGGCGACTAAAGTGCCTTTTAGTCGCTAAAAACCTTGTATTCGGCAACTAAACTGTTTTAGTCGGCAAAAGTGACCAATTTTGGCGACTAATTCCATTTTAGTCACCAATTCTACTACTTTCAGAGACGAAAAAAGAAACTTTAGTCGCCAATTCTGCTATTTGTTGTAGTGTGTATAGATAATATAAGAACAAACTAGTCACTAATAACGAAACTTTTTTCTTTTTTTTTTTAATTTTAAATTCTTTTAAATATCAGAGTTCACTTGGGGAATTATTCTTGAAATCTTAGAAAGCACCAGGAGGGATATTCCCACATGGTGGTGGAGCTAGAGGCACAATTTTTCTATCCTCACATATTTGAAATCAAAATTTAGGAGATTGTTAAGGTTCAGTTTGGATGAATGGATTTAGAGTGAATTTTATAAAACACATGAGATTAAGTTATATAGGTAAAATGAGAAATTGAAAAGAAAACAAATTAAAAATATAATATAAATATTTTATCAGGATACTTGTAAACTATAATACTTAGCATAAATAACTCCTTCCTTTAAAAATAAATAAATAAATAACTCCTAAATTTACCTCTACAAGGTGAAGCGTTGAATTGTTAGATTTATTTTTCTAGTGTGGCCCAATAGCCTACATATTTTCTACATGTTTTTAATTTATTTGGACTCCACAAATAGATAAAGCCAATATTTGAGATCAAGTTCAGTAATTAGAGTTTTAATATAATCACTCTTCTAAGATAAGAAGGAAACCTTGATGGATTAGGAATTCTTCTGATAGAGTTTATCTGGACCTCTTCTCTCCTCTATATAAGGATGGGTGACTCCCCTTCTTTTGATATTATTCCATCACTCTAAGTTTTATAGTCATCCTAATAAAGTGAGAGACATAGAGAAGAAGGTGAGCCAAGAATTAAAGGTTCAACTATTAGGGGTATTTTCTCAACTTTTCTAATTCAATGGCTGACAAAGGTATGTTCGTTTTATTCTTGAGTTGTATTGAATTCAAGATCCTGTAAAGTTTAATTCCGCATTATTATTATGGTTACATGTATTATTAAATCTTACATGTGGTATCAGAGCTTTAGTTTGTGAATCAATACACCTTGGAATAATAATATATTTATGAATATTGTTATTATAGTTATAATTATTCATAGCAACATATTTTTTGTTCATAAGGTTTGAACTCTCGGCATGTGTTGGTTATCTTGAATATACGCTGTATGTTCAACCTTGTAAGCTGCATGCCATATTTATTAGGCAGTGTCTGAATGATACATCTAATCTCTTTCATATTCATTATGCATCAAAGAAACTCTTTTTGTGTTGTTAAAAGTCAAAAGTTGTGTAAAAGAAGATTTCATTCTTGATTTCTAAATCGTAACTAAGTATGCACATCATGGACTCTCTCACTCACTTTGTTTTGTGATATGTTAGGTGCAAACTTTTATGTAATTCTATATGCTGTTCATATGCATGTTTTGATTTATTATCAATTTTAGTGATAATAATTTTTATAATCATCATAATATGTTATTGAATTGAGTGTATTGCTTGCCGTTATGATAAAGTGCATAGATTAAAAGCAATTTTAGAATTTTGCTAAATCGTTCGGACTATTAAATAAATATATTTATTTGATTGTATCA